TTAACAAGTGTTTTCTAATCTTTAGCACCAGCCCAACTGAAGCCTCCTCTGGTTAAAGCAATCAACGGCACAGCAATCCATCTTAGGTGGTTTCCACCGGAAGAACCAAACGGACCCTCTCCTATATATCAGCTGGAGAGGAGAGACTCATCTCTACCAGCTCTGATGGCCACAATGATGAAAGGAATTCGTTTCATAGGAAATGGGTATTGTAAATTTCCCAGCTCCACTCACCCAGTCAATACGGACTTTACCGGTAAGTGTGTTTGACATTGCTTTATTTAAGAGGCTCTAAGCCCCAAGGTGTTTTCTATTATTTTGATATCCCTTTACAATGAACTTTTACTGTACCTATTTATAGAAATACTAATTCAGCCCTTTTATGGCTGTAGCCTGATTGTGTCAACATGTCCATCTTTTTAGTATTATGGGGGAAAAAAAAGAGGTAAGTGAAAGAAAGAATAAAAATAAAAAGTGGAGAGGCAGCCTTATTGGATCAAAGTATGTGTTGGAGATGATTCTCAGACACCAGTCACCAAAACACGCTACTCTGAATATTATTCACCGTGTTCTGTGGGCAAATGAGTTTGAGAAATGTCCTGTGCTATATTGGAGAGTCTCAATGTGCATCATGTTATTAAATCACCTAAAAAGAATTATAAGAAAGCCATTTACCTTTGTTTAGATAAGCATGCCTAACAGGTATTTTTTTTTTCCTTTTTCTGTTTTTTTTTTTTCTTTTTAGTATAACAGCTATTAATATCTCATGTTCTATGGAGAGCATTAGGGGAAAAACTAATTTCAGGGAAGGCGTAACTTCTCTGGGCCAGGACTATGGTAAAGCAAGTGAGGCTCTTGCCACAGGCATAAAATTTAAAGGCACTAAAAAAATCAGTGGTCATGTAGATATTTTAATGCAATATTTTTACAAATGAAAATCACTGCAAGAAATTCACAAAACATGCCAAAATTTTAAAGAAAGACAAAATTGGACCCTGCATTGCACAATCCTGCCTTCCTGGCCTTACTCTACTCCTGGCCTTACTAGTGCCACAATATTCTGGAAGTCTCATGACCTCCATGAATTAGAGTTCCTAATAGCACTACTGTGATATATAAAACTGTGGCTATTTATGACACATATTCCAATTTAAAACAATTACAAAGTATAAGATATATATTATTCTGTAAACTCATAAAGATATTTAATCCATGAGAAATCATTTTGGAGCAAATAGTCTTTAAAATATTGTGTATGTGATGACAATGAAATGGAATTTAACCTGTACAAAATTTTATTGCTTTATTTTCACCTAAAATAGTAAATAGTTTGCTTTTTGTTGAGGCTGGCTGCTGATGTACATTTGTAATGAATCATGATTATGTTGTAGCTGAGATATATTGAGATTAATGCATGCTTAACTACTCTTCCAGCATCAAAATCATCACTGAGTATTAGAAGTAATACTATTGAGCTCTTCTCCCCTGAAAGGCTCAACTCTGCTTTATAGTCTTAAAAGGGAAAAAAAAAAAAAAAAAAAAAAGGAAAAGATAAAATAAGTATATGAAAAGGAACACATGAATAATAGTGAAACCTTTTTCTCAAGTGGAAATTGAAACTACCTCTCTGGTCCAACATTTGGCTTGTGATGTGTTTCTTCCAGGAAATAGCATCCGTTTCCATTCAACTGGGTATAGCTGCCGCTAGGTTGTCAGCTTGGATTTGCAGGCTAGCCAGCAGACAGATTTTTGATGGGATCACCTACTGTTGCCGTGAAAGATAGAGTGGCCCATCCATCGTTAATAAATTTAGTCATCCTCATGCTCTCCCTTGCTGGCCTTATATTCTGAGGTGCAAGGGCTAGGGGCAGATGCAGTGTCTGGGAAGTTTTCCAAATTCCTCTTTAAAAAAGTTAGGCTGTAAACAGTGGCCTCACTAAGCAGGATCCTTCTGTCTATAACAAAGCCTCCAGCTGCACAGAAAATGTGCTCGGCGTGCACATCACTTGAAGGACAAGGCAGGGAGATCACAATTTTGGCTTGAACTGCTCCCTGGAGCTTTGGCGATTCCTGGAGAATGAGAAGTTCTTCTGCGTTCAGGCACGTTCTGAGACATTACTGATGCCTTTTTATTGGTAGCTTGGTTTTACTTTGAAGGCTCCCTTTAACTTTTCAAAGAATCAAGTCTACATCAAGTTATTGGTCTGATCTTTTGGCTTAGTTGCCAGGTTTGGCTGAATAATTTAATTGATTTGGATCATGGCTTAACTAAATTTACCCAATTAATGAACAAGGACAGGTTTTCTAAATGAACCCAATGGCTTTCCTTGAATGAGCATCTTTTCTAAATAGAGAGGTAAGTGTATAGTGAGCATCTTTACATTTGTCTTACTGATATATTCTCTCATGCAATCCTTCTGCGACCCTCTGTTAGGTATTTTTACCCTCATAGTACATGAGGAAATGAGGCTTCAATAAGTGGCTGGCCCAAGGTATCCCAGCTATTGAATTTCAAGGTTTAATCATGAATTGGAAGCTTCTAATTCAAAGGCCAGGGCTTTGCCATGGAGAGGAAAGGAGCTTTTCTAGACTGTTCTTTGGACATTATGGAATGGGAGGTATATAAAATATATATAGGTACAGGAAGCAAAATAAGTATCACCCAAATATTCCTTACTTAATACTGCTAAACTTTTCGAATTTGTCTTTCAGTTAGTTTCTAGGTAACAAACAGTAAGTAGTGTTGGCATTATTTGTCTGTTTATTTGTATCCCTTTGGGGATCAGTTTTTTTTCATGGCAATTAATTCCAGAGTGTTACTAGAAGAATATAGTTGTTTAAGATCTAAGTGAAATTATTTTAAATGGACTGAAGTGCTATGTGTTAAACAGTGCTTTCAACTCACACTCTTTTACATTTTATGCAGTTTTTATATTCTGAGATAAATTTAATGAGCAAATCCTAGAAACATCTAATATGATGAATTATATTTTAAAAGTTAATAACTTTAAGATAAACTAAGATGTCCTTTATTTTGAATTATCCATTTCAAAATCCCAAACTTCAACTGAGATGATTCTTGCAATATAAATGGAAATAGCAATTAACACTCCAAGACAAATATATGGTGATATGTATAATTATACATATTTTATATATGGAAAAATAAGTCAGATTTCACCCATCAGTGACAGGATTTATAAATGCATTCATAACACATTCCATGGCCATGAGCAATATGTTGAAAGTCTCAATATAAAATATCTCATTATTACAGTAGAGAAAGGAATCTCTTACATAACTCATCCCTTTTCCATATTTGCTTTAAATATTTTTACCTTACACAGTATAATGAGAATGATTCAAGCATATGAATATATGTCCTAAAATGTTGTTTAATATTATAAATTATTAAGCTTAGAATTGTAAATGAACTCTGTCAAGGTCTACCTTTGGGGAGAATAATAAACCAGACAATGCATTTTTCGGACTTGCTTTTGCTTCCTTTTCTTTTCTGATACACGTGCTCTTTCAAAATTCTAATCTCTAGGAAACATGTATTATTAGTCATTTACATCATAGTATAAATTTAAGATCTTGTGTAACTTCTCCTACTTCTGTATGATTAACAGTGAGGATTTGGGGAGCAGATTAACTGATAACTTAGTTTCAAATCCAAGTGCCATTATTTATCAGCTAAAGGTATTAATAATTAGACATAACAATAATTTTTGTGCCTCTGTGTTCTTTTCTTTCAAATTGACATAACGATACCTCTTATAATATTGGTATCTATCAAGTAGGTGAGGCTTAAAGGAGATAGCCCACCTTATGATAGCCCACCTTTGCATGGTGCCTGACACACAGATTATTTAGTACTTATTAAACATTTGCTGTTAGCTATTAATCATTTAACACATATTCATTTAGTGCCTACTATGAGACAGGAGCTTTTCTAAATAAGCATCTTCTATAATTTATAAAGTAAACATTCTATTAATTTATTTGCTGTTATACCTACAAGGCATGTTTTCCTAAATGTTATATCTGGGATATGAGTAATATGCAATATTCTATATTAAAATATGGTACTTAATTTTGTTATTGAAAATAGTTAATCTGCTTAGTGTTGAGACACTGGGCAAACTACTTTTCTGAGGGTCTAAACTTACTCATTTACTATATTGAGGATTGTGTTGGATGACCGATACTTCTAACCTTCAAAATTCCAATTCTATGGATATAGGATATTTAAGTATCCCCAAAAATTCAAAGTAGAGGTTGTCACCATGGCATCCATGAGTTTAAAAACACCTAGATTTTTAGATAAATTGTTTGGCTATGATTCTTTCATATAAAATTACTTTTACCATTTAAGATGAATATAAATTTATTCTTTTTCTCTACTAATCTGAGAAACTTAGTGATCTAGAGAGACTTCATCGATATAAAATGAATATTTAGTTCTTGGGTTATATCAGATAGCATAAAGAAGCAGCAAATTAAACATATTTTCATGATTTTGTAATTAGGCAATGAACTAAACACTGTTAGTCCTTGGTTATACGGGGTTAACAGTCCTTTCTCCTCCAAAACAGGAATAGCAAATAGAGCATTACCTACCTTGTGCGAGTGGAAGGGGATATCATTGTGTCTTTGGAGAAAAAAAATCATGGCCATTTTTTTTTTTTTTTTTTTTTTTTTAGGAATGCAGAGTAAATCTACTTGATTTACACAAAGAGTGTAGTTCTTTCCTTGTAATGCTAGTAATCCAAATGGAACCTGGTAAAAACAGCAACTAAAATATTGCTCAGATTGGCATTCCAAAGGTGACCCTCTCTCTCCTTGTCACTATTTTTCCCCTATTAGCGAAAACAGGTCCATGATCATTTGGGGGAAGATTTGACTATTGTAGTATCCAGATGCCAATCACACCAGCCTTTTAAACTGCCTTTACTGGTGACCCTGCTCAGAAATCAGGAACTGCCTTTGGGGAGATCTTTGTAGCAAACCACTGGGGAGATGAGCACACATACGCACCTGGGTATAATTCCCTTTTATTTGTCTTCACGAGAAATGTGATTACTGATGTTGAATATCTTGCAGATGAGAACTCTGTACAGTTTCTTCATAATAATGACGTTCAAGGACACTAAATGATTGTCACACATTTTCGTTTCATACTATTCACCTTCCCCAAAATGGCTCAACTGAAATGCTTTAGAATACAAAATACAATTAATTACCAAGGCATGAAAAGCGAAATGCAACCACCCAAAATCAATATGCTTTAAAAGCATATATTTTATATCTTTTACTTGAGAATATTTATGCCTTATTATTATTGTTTTTTTTATTATTTTTAGTGAATCGGGACATTTAATCACTTCATTAAAAGAAGGCTCATTATAAGCAGTTACAGTGAAGGTGCAAGTAGGCAAACTTCTTCAGATAGACTAATTAGTAAAAGCATATTAATTCTGACCTTCAACACCCTTGGTGTCCCAGTATTTGTTTTCCTCAGACTGGGAGTAAGTAATTTTGCTTGAAAGTACTTTTAAAAAGAAGAAGAAAAAACAAAAACAACTACACAAAACCCCCATGTCGTTTCAAGGCAGGTTTAAATCGTAAATTTTACTTAACCTTTGATATTAGATTTTGGCAATAGTTATTGGAAAACAAATATATTAATCCATGTGGCTTAGCAGTTTAATTAATAGGCAGTAATGATATAAAAAAATAAAGGCAAGAGTAAGAACACAGAACGTGGGAGCACGGAAAAGGGGAAATAGCTGTCTTCCAGTGTGTTTTCTGGTTGATGTAATCAGAAGAGATGAGCATGTCTGGTTGAGTTCATCCCTATGAACTGAGAAGGAGAAGGATCCAAATGTGTATCTTCTTAGAACAATAGAAGTCAGGTTCACACATGCTAACTGGAGATATTTGAGAAGCAAACGTTAAAACTGTTTAACTTTTTACTATGTTTAGTAGAGTGGTATATTGAGCAAGTTCTTAGGAAATGCTATCAGATAGATCCATGACATTGATAGATGGAAGAGAACCATGTTTTCCCCATTCACCAAATTCATAATAAAGGCCAATTTATGAATGCATGTGTTTTAACCCTTGCATTTTTAAAGAGACATTTTGAAGTGCATTTCTACGATGTTGCCTTTGGTTTGAAATATGGTAGGAGGCTGGTAAGCTGAATTGTCACCGACCATGCCAATTCTATAGACTAATATTTTCACAGAAACAACTGCTTTTGTTAGCTACTAGCACTCTTTTAATCAACTTAAAACATCTGTTTTTTCCATCTCTTCTATTATCAAAGATGCAGTCTTGCCTGATACACAAAGTGCACATGTGTTCACATGTACTCATGCCATGCTTGTAAACACGCTTTCTACAATGTCCCTAGGTTCTTTACGTGGTCTCAAATTTACCTGCTTAAATTGTCCACAGTCTTTTTCTTCCAATATTTTGGTCACTTTGGAATGTTCTCAAAGATATTTTTGATTAAAAAAATTGTCATTGCTTAGTGACATTCTGTATCAGTATAACACAGATTGGTTCTAATCTTCTTTACATTCAGTTTAAGTGAGGAGAAAGAGGAACTTTGGGCAGAAAAAGAATCACAAAGGTCAGTAGTGGTAGTAAAACTAGCACCTCTGAAGATGATTGCTTTTTGATTTAATAAAGTGAACTACTTTTATATATTTTTTTCAGAAAAAAATTAATAAAAAACATTTTAAAATGCATACTTGTAGTCATATCAGGATAACTATAACATCCATACAAGGGTATAGGTTAAGATTAATTTCATCTCTACTCAGAGAAGATTCTAGTAATGTCATTGTCAAAATGCCGAATCTTTTAAAACTGGGTTCTAGTGGCCTGAAGAAATTTTTTAGAAGATCAAACCTTAAAGGTTTCATTTGTGTGGAGAAATTTCAATCCATATCCTGCAAACCACCTTTCAGGTCTGCATTTTGAAGGAGGCTCACAAACATACCCCCTCAGGCATTTGTTTGGATATTCCAGAAGTGAGGCTTAGCTACGCACATTCTCGGGACTGAGGAATGGTCTGAGAGTCCCTTAAGTGTAACTTTAGAAGAAAGACATGAGGAAGAGGGAGAGAAAAGAAATGTTCAGGTCACTTGCTTCATCTCTGGCAATGGCAGACATATCTTTCCCACGAAGGGCATCCCAGGGGAACTTCATAGGTAAGGGCCTACGGGAAATTTACAGGAATGATTTAAGGATCCTCCCTCCCATCTGGGCACAAAACTGAAAATCAATGTAGACACCACTTTCTCAGATTCTCCTTCCCTTCCCTCTCCTGTCCTAAAACCTGTTCCTTCTGTGTTTCCCATCCACAGAAAATATTACTGATTTCCTGAGACAGAGCATGGGAGGATTCCCTCAATAGACAGTTTCTCATTCTCTTTCTCACATTCCACCAATTATTCCTCTGCTGGCCATTCTTTCCCTGGTACATCTTTTGGAAATATCTGTTGGTCATATGGCCACTGCCTACCCTAGGCCAATATTGTGGGCTTCTCTGCCAACAGCTTCACTCTTCTCCAAGCTGTTCTTCAAACTAATAATATTTTTTTGTTACCGTGTTTCCTGGAAAATAAGACCTAACCACAAAATAAACCCTAGCAGGATTTCTAAGCATTTGCGCAATAGAAGCCCTACCACGAAAATAAGACCTAATGGTGGGTGTGGCTATATAGTGTATCTGCACAACCCATGCATTTCGTCCTGGAGTGGTAAAAAGGAAGAGCAGCCCTTCTCATCTGCCCCATCATGACAGCTACTATCCCAGAGGTGACCGGAAAGGTGCCGGCAGCCCCACCAACAAGGTTGACTCCCCCTGTCAGGTTCTGGCCATCCTGTGCATGCTGCAAGCTGAGGCTTTGAGGGGAAAATAACACATTCCCTGAAAATAAGCCCTAGGGTGTCTTCTTGAGAAAAAAATAAATATAAGACCCTGTCTTATTTTTGGGGAAGCATGGTATTCCCTTCTAAAACCTTGCAGTGGTTTCCCAGTGAGATGCCATGCATGAATGAACTCTTTTCTGCTTACCTGCTTACCAATGAGCCTCATCTCTCCACCTATGTACCTCCTGGTTTACTCTCCAGCTCCAAGGCTGTCTTTCAGACCTGGCTGCTTAAAGCACACTCTCATCTCAGCAGCCCAGGTCTTTGAAAATATTGATGCCTTTCCCTGGCATGGCCTTGCCTACTTGCAAGTTCCTCTTTTTCCTTTTACCTGGCTAACTGCTACTCATCATTAAAGTGTTAGCTTAGCTGTTCCTCTAAATAGCCTTGAAATAACCCCTATCCTCCTGCCAGGTCTGGGTGAAGATGTCCTATGTCCTACCACAAAAAACAAGAATTTCTCTATTTTAGCCCTTACCACACTCTACTGAAATTGTCTGTTCACTTATAAATGTCCCAACCAGCCTGAAATTATGACTGTCTTCTTTCACAGTTATAACATTTGTGTCTTGCACAGCATAAGACACATACCAGATGTTCAATAAATGTTTGTTGAATAAAGAATTAACTGAGTGATAGAAAAGGAAAATCCATAAGAGTGATCACTTAACCATAAGAATTATTTAATGGTGAGATTCATTATGCATTAGAAAATATTACACATTTTTGAAAGCTACCTTCTTTGGAAGTATTAATGGCTTAGAGTGATAACTCAATTTGTTTAGTCTGTATTGGCCTTAGAGGTATAAGACAGTATATTTTAAACTGTATATAGTACTAGAGACAAAAAGAAATTCTTATTAATGGTCCTTAGTTGCTGATGAAGTTACTTCTGTGTTAATTGTGATAGCTAGAATGTAACATCAGGAGTTTCCAGCCACACAATCACTGTCACATTGTGTTTTTGGAAACTAGGTGGTTGCACATCTCTTAGATACAGAATCTCCTTAGGCTTATTAAATGTTGAGGCTAATGAATATTTTGACACTTTTACCTATACATATCATTAGGGCTTATTGCAATAGGTTTAAGATGACAGTCATAATAAACATATACAGTACAATAAAAAGCACTTTTAATCTTGAAAGTGCTTTATAAACAACAGTGATCAATGCTGTGGATGGGTTAACAGCATCTTACTGATTGGATTCTATTTCAAGGGCAATGGAGGTATTGACATTGGGAATCCACATCAGATGGCGGCAATAATGGTAGTAAATAGCGCAGGTTCTGGAGTCAGACTCCCCAAGTTTAAAATCTGGCTCCCCAACGTGACAGTGTGCAACTTTATGGAATCACGCCTCAAGCCTGAAACTCAGTTTCTTCATCTGTAAAATGGACAATTCTAAGGTTTCAATGCAAGTGAAGGATTAGCATACAATACCTTATTACGTATGCATTTACGGCTGGCATTCTGCAATTCTGGACTTAAATTACGTGCCTTTCCATATCATACATGTATTTTATGTACCTAAAACCACATAAATATCGATGATACTCTTTTATGACCTTTCTCTACTGCATAATCACTTTATTTTACTCATTCTGGGGACTTATGACCTTTGTTTCTTCAATTACCTTTCTCCTTTCTCTGGAGGGTTTGCATGTTCTGCATCTCATTTCTACACTTCTAGTGACTAACTTTAAATTTTATATGCATTTGTAAACCTAACTCTATTTCTTCCTTTTGTTCATAATCAGTCTTCTTAAAGAAATAAGACTCTCTCAATGTATTGTTTTCTCACCTTAAATGGAGTTCATTCAGTTCATACACAATTTTTTCTTATTTTACCCCAGTATCCAATGCCATGATTGCTGTTGTAAAAAGGATATTGGACCAAACAAATACAGTCCCTAACCTTAGGGAGCTTAAAGTCTTGCAGTGAAATCATGCATCAAACACATAATTAAGTAATTACAAGTGACTTCTGTCTGCAGCTATGAAGCATATCAAAAAATCCTCCTGCATAGTGCCATCTGATCTTTGACAAAGCAGACAAAAACATACACTAGGGAAAAGAATCTCTATTCAATATATGGTGCTAGGAAAATTGGATAGCCACATGTAGAAGACTGAAATAGGATCTGCACCTCTCACCACTCACAAAAATCAGCTCACGATGGATAACAAACTTGTACCTAAGGCATGAAACTATAAGAATTCTAGAAGAAAATGTTGGAAAAAACTCTTATAGACATTGGCCTAGGCAAATAATTTATGAAGAAGACCCCAAAAGCAAGTATAGCAACAACAAAAATGAATAAATGGGACTTGATCAAATTAAAAAGTTTTTGCACAGCCAAGGAAACTATCATTAGAGCAAATAGACAAACTACAGAATGGGAGAAAATATTTGCATGCTACACATCTGATAAAGGGCCAATAACTAGAATCTATAAAGAACTCAGCAAGAAAAGCAAGCAAATCAGCAAGAAAAAAATCAAACAATCCCATTAAAAAATGGACAAAAGACATGAACAGAAACTTTTCAAAAGACGATAGACTAATGGCTAACATGTGAAAAAATGTTCACCATCTCTAATCATCAGAGAAATGCAAATCAAAACCACAATGAGATATCACTAAACTCCAGTGAGAATGGCTCTTGTCAAAATTTCTAAAACAACAAATGCTGGTGTGCATGCAGAAAGATAGGAATATTCATACACTAGTACAACCTCTGTGGAAAGTAGAATGGAGATAAAGAACTAAAAGTACAACTGCCATTTGATCCAGCAGTCCCATTCCTGGGTATTTACTCCACGGAAAAAAAGACATTCTATAAAAAAGACACCTCCACTCGAATGTTTATAGCAGCACAATTCACAATTGCAAAAATGTGGACACGCCCAAGTGCCCATCAATATATGAGTGGATTGTGGTATATGTATACCAAAATGTGGTATACCATGGAGTTCTATTCAGCCATGAAAAGTGGTGAACTAATACTTCTTGTATTAACCTATATGGAACTGGAGCCTATTCTACTAAGTGAAGTCTCACAAAAATGAAAAAACAAACACCACATGTACTTAGCATTTAATTGGAAATAATCAACACTTATGTGTACATATGGAAATAACATTCATTAGAAATCAGGCAGGTGGGGGGGGAAGGGGATGGGTAAATTCACACCTAATGGGTACAGTGCACACTGTCTGGGTGATGGGGACATTTATAACTTTGATTCAAATGGTACAAAAGCAATGTTATGTAACCAAAACATTTGTACTCCCACAATATACTGAAATTAAAAAAAAAAATTATCATGAAAAGCAGTTTTTAAAAAGTAAGTGGAAGAATGTAGAAACAAAAGAGCCTACTATTCCATTTGTATAAATTTCTAAAGCAGGAAAATGAATCAGTAGTAATGGCATCCAAAGATGATGTAATAACCGAAAGGAAGCAAAAAAGATCATTCTGAGATTCTGGAATTATTTTATAGCTTAGTATGAGAGGAGTTTATAAGCATGGATTTAATTTGTAAATGTCTATCAGCATGTACCCTGATAATTAGTGCACTTTATTTATTTATTTATTTTTTTGAGACAGAGTCTCACTTGGTTGCCTGGGCTAAAGTGCCATGGCATCAGCCCAACTCACAGCAACCTCCAAACCCGCTCAAGCGATCCTACTGCCTCAACTCCCGAGTAGCTAGGACTACAGGCATGCGCCACCATGCCTGGCTAATTTTTTTTATATATTAGTTGGCCAATTAATTTCTTTCTTTTATAATAGAGATGGAGTGTTGCTCTTGCTCAGGCTGGTTTCGATTCCTGACCTGGAGCAAGCAATCCCCGCCTTGGCCTCCAGAGTGCTAGGATTACAGGCATGAGCACCAGGCACCGCCGGTGCACTTTACTTTTAATGTTATGTTTCAATTTGAAAAGTTACCAAAATATATTTCAAATGTGCAAAGTCCAAAAGTACTGTGTGGAAAACTATTGTAACAGATAACAGGTGCACTCAACTCAGTCTACAGAATTACTGAAGGCCTCTCAGAGGATGAGTTTTATAATCTGAAAAATTCAGGTTGATTTTGCTAGGCAAAAAAAAAAAAAATCAGAGCTAGTGCAGTCTAGGTAGAGAAAGTAGCAATGTGGAAATGTCAAGACAGTCATGATGCGATATATGAATAAAAAAGCAAATGAGAAAACAAGCAAAACCAGGAGAAGCCAGCATAGCCAGAGCACAAAAACAAGGAGATGAGTACCTCATGAGATTGATACATATGCAGGGGCCAAATCATACATACAAGGGCCATTGCATTGAGATTTTTGAACATCACTTCATTCATCTTTACACAATCATTGTGCAGGTTACAATCACTGTGCAGGTTAGGTCCTGATGCCAAGAATGTTTTTAAGGTGGCTTTGTTAACTTAAAGTGATATTTTTACTGAGATTGTACATACATATTTCATACATCGACTTACTAAAAGTGGCCGTTTTATTTAGTCATCTAATAGTCTTGTTTATAGAATATCTCACAAAATGTTAGAAGACTTTCTTTATAGTAATTAGCCTGGCTACGCAGTTAAAAAATAAAAAAAAAATCACATTCTGAATCCTACCTAATCTCTGGAAAAATAGCTAGAAATTTCTGTCTGACAAGATCTCTAGGTCTGTTTTATAAAGACACACCTATCATATGACTCAGCTATTCCTCTGAAAGGTAGTTGTATACGAGAAAGCAAATGCTTTGGATACACAAAAGGCTTGCACGTAAATATTCATAGCACCTACATTCACAACAGCTAAAAACTGGAAAGAACCCAAATGTTCATCTATAGGTAGAGGTATAAATAAAATGTCATATATCCATACAATGAAATACTACTAAGCAATACAAAGAGATAGATTACCGATTACCGACAATGTGAGTAAATTTCAGCTCCCATGCTGAGTAAAGAAGGCAGTAGAGTACTTATCAACAACTCTACGTATGTAAAATTCTTAAAAATAGAAATTAATCTATAGGGACAGAAAAGAGACTGGTGGTTGTCCAGACCTGTGAAGGAGAGAGTGGTGGAAATACTCCGTAATGACTGAGGTGGTGGTTTTACAGATGTATACATCTTTCAAAACTTACTGAATCATACCCTTTGAACAGATGCAGTTTATTGCATATGTATAATAAATTATACTTCACTAAAATTGATAAAATGAAAAGTGCTCGAGGAGATTCTTACAACATTCAGGTATAAGAAACATTGTTCTACACTATAATGAAAAAGTCGTTTTAAATTGTTTAGAGAAAAGTTAACCAATATTGATATTATTTAATATATTGGTCCCAAACTCCTTTGGATAGAAACTTAAGTAGTGTAATACTTTAGATTGGGCTCAACATGCCAAATTTTACTTGAAACAAATTAATATCCAGTATTTGTTGTATATAATATAGAAATAAAGAGTTTCAGTAAACTATGCTGACAGCAAGAATCTTGTACAATGTAAATAAAATGCCATTTATTTTCTCTACAGAATAGGGTTTCTTTTGATCTCATTCACATTCAGATGGAAATTTTTATAAACAGAAAGGACTGTAGCTTGTCTGTTTTTCAGATATTTTGTCATAATGAAATACACGCTAGAATATGCATTTGACCAGTTCCTGCTTTGATGCTATTGCACCTCTTAATATATTTTTCATAGCTCATATAATTGGTGTTAATATGCTATGTTATTAAGTTTAACTGTGAGAAAAATAGTTTGTTGAAAACTGATTTCTTCTGCATACTTATAAACTCAGTAGTCAGAAAAAAATTAGAGAAATATAATTAAGGATTGCAAAATCAATTTGACACTCACTTAAAATGTGTTGAGTGGAGGCAGCAACCAGCAGCCTACATCTGATGCTGCTCTCCTTGTTTACTTCATAAACTGTGCAAATTAGAACTTTAATTTACAGAGCTGTTAATGCCTCATTAAAAACTTTCAGCAAGTATCCTATTTTGAGGGTTTTTTTCCTCTTTATATCCAATATGCAGCATTATCTCTGCTATGTGGGCATATATAAGGCAATGCATTCAGGAATATTAGTCTAAACTGTATATATGAAAATGAAATATTTTAAAATAGCACATCTCAGGAAAGGACACTAGCAGTGCCTGTTAGTTGTTTTCCAAAGCAATTAATTTCTCCATTTACTTTGTGCTTGTGGTTGTTGTTGTTATTAGTGTTTATTATATATTGAACACTGCATTACTGTGGTCTCCTGGGCTGGACCAGCCTGTTAGGAATAAGGTCAGACATCAGGATGTGAGCAATGGTGAGCAAGTGAAGTTTCATCTGTTTTTACAGCTGCTTCCCATTGCTTACATCACCACTTAAGCTCTGCCTCCTGTCAGATCAACAGCAGCATTAGATTATCTATTGTGGTGAGTTGTATAATTATTTCATTATATATTACAATGTAATAATAATAATAATAGAAATAAAATGCACAATAAATGTAATATGCTTGGATCATCCTGAAACCATCCTCCCCACCCTCATCCATGGAAAAATTGTCTTTCATGAAACTAGTCCTTTGTGCCAAAAAGTTTGGGGACCGCTACTGTATTGGAAGATAAGGATATTACTGGACTCCAGTAGACTTGTTCTTGCTCTTACAGGCCTTGTGGGAATAGAATCTATGACTGTTTGACTACTCTTAACCATTATTATAGACTGCTACTTTTCTGCCCAATAGTATGTTGTAGCCACAACCAAGCAATCAATAGTATTTTTAAATATCCTTGAATACTGGATTAGGACTTAACCTTTTAAAAAGTCTGAGTTGTAGACATACATTTGGTATTAGTTTCAGACATCCTTTAGATCGCTGGGCTAGTGCCCAACTACCCCTTCTTACCACATTGCCCCTGCCTCCCCTAAGGAGAACACATGGCCACCTACTTTCTACCATGGCCCTTGCTCTACTGAGGACAGTTAGTTGAGAGAAGCATGAAAACCTGATCCATGCAGAACTGATTCTGTTCCCATGAGAATTTGGAATTGGAATTTAGAGCTAACCAGTCTATCTCTGTTTGTCTTGAATATAACATATAAATTGATTGAAAATGAGAGACAGAGAGAGGTAGACTGTTGTTGAGATGCACGAGAAAAGGGGAGGGGAAGAAGGAAACACTGAAGCAGGTAACAGGGAGCAGCAGCAGAGAGATGAAAGCCAGGAGAACATTCGTGAAGGCTTTCACACTCTCTGCCCCAAAATCTTGCCTAGTCTGGGCTGTGGTCTCGGTCTTGAGTTCCAGACAACAACATCATCTCTGGATAATACATTTCTTCTTTTGCTCAAGGTCTTGGTATAAATATGCAACCAGAGATTCTCAAGTTAAAAAGAAGCTACCAGCACATGAGTGGAAGTTGAAGCCGTGGGAAAAGGATTAATGACTCAGGGTCAAGGATAGACTTTAGAGTGAAACAGGACATTCAGAGATAGATAGTAAAAAAACAACCAAGAAAAAATAGCCAGATACATAGGTGAAGTACTACTTGAGAGTCAAGGAAAGATTCATGAATGGTGGGGTTGGGGGTGGGGTGGGGGGTTGTCACAAGCATAAAATGTTGCTCAGCAGTCAGGCAGGCAAAAAGCTAAAAATAGGCAGTTGGATTGTACCATTTTTATGTCTCTATGCCCTGCTATCTAACTAAACTATTTTTAAAATGTATTTTATAATTTTTAGGTCCTTCTCAAAATTCCTAGTATAATATAAATTTCCAATACATACTTGGTAACTGAACAATCATAATTTCTTGGGGTTAGTTTTCAAAACATACACATTTATTTTAGTCAATGACATTCATAAAGCTTTGCTGCTATGTGTTTTGGTTAGTTTGGCACTGTATATTTTCAATGAAAAATTATACAGGACCAAAAAAAGTTATAAGCGTGTTTTCCAAGTATTAAAAAAAATTCTCAGTCCAGAATGCATCATTTGTTCTGGGATAGTTAAAATTCTGGGAGAACCCTTTGCTCTTCCCTTGCTCACTCGCTCTTCTTTAAAAGGGCTGTATTGAGACTATGGGTCATTTCTCATCTGAATAGCTAAAGAAGATTAGCTGCATTGCTACTGATACACTTGATATTTTCTCACTGCATAACACTGTAGCAACAGATTCTTAGCCAGTCTGATAAGATAAAATGTTCATAATACTTAGAGGATAAACGGGTATCATCACTGCCTCAGATCCCTTTAAATCCAATCTCCTGATCTGCATGAGATTACATTTTTTGCTCTCATTTACTAGTTACCCCCAAAAGAAGTCCTGATACAGCTGCTGGGTTCCTAAATTGTATTTTGACAGTCAAAACAGCAGGTTGGATTTCTTTTTTCTGCTCAGCAAATACAATAGAAAATCAAGGCTTTTTGTGTGGTAGTTAGTCACTGACCTTGCCAAATTATTCCATATTTTCTCTAGATTTGGTCCTAGAAAATCAAATATTAAGTTTGACAGTCCAGCTAAATTCCATAAGGTCATCTATCACATTACATACAGTAATTGATTTTAAGTTATTTGGTTGTTAGTTTCATGGTTCATGTTTCTGTTTTCTGGTGGAGTTTCCAGAAACTTTCTCATTAAATGGAGAGCTATATTATGTAAACACAATTCAGCAAAGCCTCCCTTTCATTCTAATTACTTGCTTTTAGAAAGCTAATTTTATTGGGTTTTTTAATCCCATAAGAGTCAGACATGGATTTTCCACTCTTCAGTAAATTTCAATCATGAAAGAATCATCTATATTTTCATCATATCAAAAGAATTTTCAGACACTACCATTTGTAGGTACAAGTCATATTCATTGACTCACTTCATATTTATCAAATATCTAATATTTATGAAATAGTTCCCTGGGCCTTGTGACCAAAAGAAAAATTAGTAAGTTAATTTTACTAATTCTTGTCCTTGGGAACTTTATGCTAACTAATATCTGAGAAAAAGTCAATAGCGTGATTCTGTTAAAAAAAAAAAAAAAAAAGAGGAAAAAAAGAAATAAAACAAGACAACTGCTACCCTGTGTTGTATTAGCAGAATCGTCAAGGATAAAATAAAAAAGGCAATTATCGGACTCCCCTTGGCAATCCTTAGCCCTTGATAGGAGTAGCGTGTTCCATTTGAGAAGGCACACTTTTTAAAACATAGACAAGTTTGGCAGAGGTTTCAAAAGAGAGCAACAAAAAAAATGATGAAAGGCTTTGAAAATGGGGCCTGTAAGGAAAGGCTGGGAGACCTGAGGATGTTCAATCTTGAGGAAAGAAGACAGAGGGGACACATGACGACTGTTTACAGATGCATAAAGAGGTGTTACAGACGGAAGAGGGACCTATTTCCCTCATTAGTCAACAAAGACTGTTCAAGAAGTAATGGGTTTAAAAACACGTGGTGGGGGGGGAATTCAGGTTAAATATTAGATTAAATTAGATAAAATTTGAATATTTAAAATTTTATGATCCCAAGCGCAATTAAGCTGTGGGGACTAAATCGAATTAGATTTGGCATAGGAATGTCAGGTGAAAACAAACCCAATCTGAATGCAGGGGGTTAATAATTAAGAGTTTACATTTGTATAAAATGTTAGCATATTTCAGAATACTTTTACATATATTGTTTTACTGATCTCTGGACATTCTTAGGAAATAGTCATGGGAAATATCAGCTAGTTTTATAGCTGAGAAAATGGAATTTCGGAGAGCTGAAATGTTGCTGCTTTTCTTTTTCCCCTCAAGACTACGCAAAAGTAGGAAGTAGTCTGGGATCAGACAAGCAAGACTAGAAGTCAGTTCTTCAGATTTTTTGTCCTTATGTTTCACATCATACCTTGCTACCTTTTCTTTTGTAATATGATTTTCATTGTGGAGAACTGTTGCTGAATCAGTTGGGTTTTCTGTTTTGTTTTGGCTTTTAAAGCTCCAAATATGTCCCGAGAGTTGCCTTTTTTCATATTAATTACCTGAAGTATAATTGGACCATAACCTGTAGACCAACTAGTGATTTTTTTGTTTACTTAAAGGAACAAGAAATATGATTGAACTTATTATATCTGTTTTAGCTATACCTATTATTTGTCCTCTTCTGCTGTTTCCAATTTTGAAACAAATTCAACACTTTGATACTAAGTTTTGATAAATCATTGACAGACCAAATATGGTCTCTAGAGTTAGTGTGATATGATAAAACTCTGCCTTCTACCATTACCTAGTGGTGAAACATTTGTGTTTCATCTTTTATGAATTTCATATTCTTCATCTATGGGAAGAAAATCATAATATCCTCTGATTTCTTCTAGGGTTATAATGAGGAACAAATGAGAAAATACACGTGAAAGAACCTCAACTTGTTCAAAGAAACTATAAGCTGTAACTTAGCGTTAATGTCGATTGAGGGAAAATGTGTGTTGTTTCGGTGGTGTGATGATTTTAGTTTGATAATTCCGTTCTAATTTTGTTTTCAATCCTGCCTCCTTTTTTTTTTTTTTTCTAATTTCAGATTCTAAAGGTCAAGTCCATAGTCTTTGTTCTAGCATTTAAAATTTACTAGCCTTACTGTAGGTATTCACTAATAGTTTGGCGAGTGAGTAAATGACTAGATAAATGAATATTTACTGTAATAATGTATGTCAGATTATCAGATCCTATGAATACAAGGAACTCAAAGTCTAGTGGAGGATTTACAGACAGTTACAATACTTGATACAGAGAGAACTCTTTTCTCAACAAAGCGAGGTAGCGGATGCCAAATGTTACCAAGGGAAGACCATTTGATTGGCTGCCAAGACCCTTGAGGAGTCTGAAAAGACTTGTTGGACTCCCTCAACCATGCACACAAATTGTGTAAAGTAATCCAGGAGGCAGGCTAAATGGAGAGGCTCTTAGTATGCTGAGCTTGCTAGGAAATGGAGGCGTTTTAGGGGAAATGTCAGCCTCTGCAGACTCCTGTGATGCTCACCGGGGTGCCAGCCACCCCCAGGGAGCCCACAGCACCGCAGGCAGACTACAGCAGGGAGGCTTACTGGGAGGATACACAAGAGCTTAATGGCCCCCTGTGCATAATGTTGAAAGAGGCTGTGATTTTTGTTTTCTTCTGAGATTAATGTGTGTGTATTGCAGGTTCAAAATGGTAAGAATCTTAATTAGAGTTGCAGGAAGTTGCATAATACACTCCATGTCTTACTTTTCAGCACACCCAGCAACAGAAGTTATTTGCCAAATTATGAAGGCTGATGGAGAATGAGCACTGTAATTTGAGTAAATGGGATCTCTAACCCCCACCTCCTGCCCCCATTTTTTTCTAGTTAGTCACAAAGTTTAAAATGCAAAGAAGTGAAACTCCCAAGGGAACAATTCTATTTCATCTGCGGAAGAAAGACATATGTTGTTACTGATGAAACCTCTGCTCTGGAAGCAGAGCCAACCCTGGGAAAACGGGAAGGGGCTGCTGTGCCTTTGGCATTGCCACAGCCCTGCTTAGTGGCCCCCGTCTCTTCTTGGGAGCCTGCAGCCATCATGCTGCCCGTGGCTGCCTGTGCTGCTTCTTAAGGCTTTTTCCCAAGGCCTGCTCTGTGGTCTGATTACCTTGGGGCAGTTGCCTGCCTCTCCTAAGCTAAAATGTACCTGTCTTGTGCCCCATGCCTTCAGGGCCCGGATCTGGACGTAGACTGATCTGACAGATGTCACTTCGAGATTATGTCAATGGTAGCAACATGTTTCTGGGCTTTTCTTGGCTTCACCAGGACTGTGTGTTCACTTACTCAGAGGCCTTCTAGCGGTAATGCCAGAATCCAAAACATCAGATCGAACTGTGATTCTATGGGAGAGAGGATTAGGGACCAGCAGGCCTTAATATGGCTGCACTTGTAGGTCCAGCTACATAGGAGAGTTTCACTCATTCTTTTACTGGACAAATATTTATTGAAGAATAAAATACCAGGCACGGTGTTAAAACATAAAGATGTCTAAGCAAACAAGGCACAATCCATGGCCTTAAGAAATCTAGAAGGTACAATATTCCATATACATCATTCATCTTTATTCAAAAATTATTTACTGAGCATCTACTATGTGCCAGGTACTTGTGCGCGGCACTGGAGGGTGTAAGAGACCAAATCCCTGCCTTTGTGGGACTGCATTCTAGTG